CTCTTGCCAGAGGCAACAGGATGCAAGATAAAAGTCAAACAACTTAGTAGATGCCAGGCTTTCATTTACTTTTTTCTTCACACACCCCTCCCCCCCCACCCCACACCCCCCAACTATCCCTCCTCCATGCTGTGAAAGCAGACTTCAGGGACAAAACAAATTAATGATACAGGTTTTGTAAAGACTGCTGTTTCTCTTTGTTATACATACCATTCTGTTCAGATTTGAATTATCTTCTTCATTGTTATTATTATCAAAAAATTGATTCCACTATTTCCATATATGTGTGTATGATATGTGCTTATACTGTTGTTATTAGTGCCAACCAGTCAGTTCCAACTCATAGCCACCCTGTATAGGGTTTCCGAGGAGCAGCTAGTGGGCTTGAACTGCTGACCTTATGGTTCTCAGTCCAGTCCTGATCCTACAGCACCACACCGTCTAATGTACCATACATGTGTACCATACATTACTAGGAGTCTTGGTGTGGGACTGTAAGAAAAGCCCTGGGCTGCAATGTCAGTTTGAACCAGAAGGTTGGTAGTTCAAACCCACAAGCTGCTCCTAGGAAACCCTATACAGGGTGCCTATGAGTTGGAACTGACTTGATGGCATTTAATAACAGAAATATATTTAATATAGAAATATTTGTGGTGCTTTAGGATAAGCACTAAACCACAAGGTCAATTTGAACCGAAAGATCAACAGTTCAAACTCACCAGTTGATCCTCGGAAACTGTGGCTGTGAGTCAGAACTGACTTGACGGCATTTAGCAACAAATATATATACACACATATATGTATAGGGTTGCTATGAGTTGGAGTCTACATATAATATAGATAAATAGATAGATAGACAAGAGAGTAAATAAAAACATATTGCTATGAGGGTTCCACTTCATACATGTCCAGGTTTATTCCAAACAAAATGTGTTTAAACTTATCTCTGTGATCAGTGGATGCCTTCAGACAAATTCTCTCAGTGATACACTTGACTTAGTCTGCTTTCTTCTTGTTAAGTGCCATCAAGTAGGTTATGACTCATTGTGACCCTGTGCAGGGTTCCAGAGGAGCCACTGGTGAGTTTGAACCTCCGGCCTTGTGGTTCAAATTGACCTTAGGTCCAGTACTTATAATCCAGTGCCACACCAGGACTCCTTAGGGTAGGTTTTAAAAAAAAAAAAAAAAAAAACAGGTCCTATGCAAACAGTGGTTTCCAAGGAGATCTGCTAGGCCAGTTCAATTCAAGGCAGAAAGGTTATGGAGACTTTGGAGTTCCATAGTGTTGATCATGATACATTTTTTTCTTGACGAACACAAGATGATCACAGAGTCTTATTAGGAAGAAGTTTTAAGAAATTTGAAAAATGCCTTGGTGAGGAAAAGGCCAGGAAAGTTGTATAAAGTAATTTTGTTCCATTGCAATGATACACCTGCACACTCTTCAAGGGGAGCCTGGGCTGTCTTATGAGAATTTCATTGGGAAACCTTATCCCATCCACCTTGATCTTGCTCCTTCAAACTCCTGTTTATTGCTAAAATTCAAAGTAATACTTGAAACACTATTTGAGTCTGTCAAGGGTGCCCAAACTGATTTGCTATAAAGAGAAGAGCACAGAATTCTTCAGGGAAGGATTAGAGAAATGGAAACAATGCTTTCAGAAGTGTATGCACCTAGATGGAGGAGATGTTGGGAAACAATAGCTTCATATTTTGTTTAATAAAAGCTTCTGTGATTTTGTAACAATACTTTTTTACTTACCTTTGTAAATATGAGTATAGTTTTAAGTTAACAAGCTACAAAAAACAATGAATTGTTAGGGAAACTGTGTGGACTTTTACTCTTTGGAGTCCTAGACCTGAGTTCACGTCCTAACTACATGTTAACAGGTATGTCCTAGTTTTTCTTTATCTGCAAAATGGCTTAGCAATCCCTGTTCTACTTAACTCAAACAGTTGGTAAAAAAAAAAAAAAAAAAAAAAAAAATGAGGATATAGATCATAACTCAGAATGTGATTTGCAAATTTGGAAATTCTTTAAAACCAAAATATCAAATCCACTGCCACCAAGTCAATTCCAACTCATAGTGACCCAACATAGACCTCCAAATACAAGGCTGTATTTATTTGTCTGATCAGACTATTAAAGCGCTGACTTATCTCACTGGACTCTGAACTCTATAAGGTTAGAAAGAAATAGAAGCTGGGGCTGCAAAGGGCAATTGGGACTAAATCCTGGAAGGATTTTTCGGAGGAGTGAAGGGACAATACTGGAAGAGCTAGTGGGCTGGATTGAAAGATGCAGTTGAGAATGGAGGGCAAAAAGGAAGTGCATTCCAAACTTACCTTCAGTCAAAGCTTATGCCTAAGGACTTGAATATATTCATTATTCCTTCTCACACATGCAGAGGTAAAAGTTGATTTGAATATGTAGCTAAATTGCTACATAATAGCACACCTACATAGCAGTATTTTAACAACTATTCAAGCACTGTTATAAACAACAATAACCTAACCCCACAAATCCATTGTCTTCCAGTTGATTGTGACTCTTAGTGACCTTTGGTTGGTCTGCTTGGTTATGTGCCGTCTTAGAGGACAGAATAGTCCCACCCCACAGATTTTCCAAGAAGTGTTGGTGTGGCGTTGTAGGATAAGCAAGTTCTGTTTGAACCACAAGGTTGGCAGTTCACACTCGCCAGCCACTCCTCAGAAACCTTAGATAGGGTTGATATGAGTTGGAAACGACTCAATGGCACTTAACAACAACAACAACAAATAGGTCTTCCAAAGTTGTAATCTCTAAGGAAGCAAACTAGCACATCCTTCTCCTATGGAGCTGGTGGCTTTAAACCACAAACTGTTTTGTTTAACCCCTTTATCACCAGGGCCCTTTCACTCTTATAAATTTTGCTAAGTTGTTAAGTGCCGTCGAGTTGGTCCTGATGCATAGCAACCCTGAAGTGGCTGGTGGGTTTAAGCCACAGACCTTGCAGTTAGCAGTCCAATGCTTATCCTAAAATGCCACACCAGTACTCTCACTCTTATAATTGTTGTTGAAAGTGTGGTGGAGTCATTTCTTACTCATAGCAATCCTGTATAGGGTTCCCAAGAAGCAGCTGGTGGGTTTGAACTGCCAATCTTGAAGTTAGCAGTCCAGGATTTATCCTGCAATCTCCAATGAGACATTTTGTTCTAAGGAGTTCCTGGGTGGCACAAATGGTTAATGTGCTCAATTACTAAACAAAATGATGTTGGCTTGAAGCTACCCAAGGAGTCCTCAGGAGAAAAAGCAAGCAACCGCCTTCTGAAAAATCATGCAATGGAAACCCTATGGAGCGCAGTTGTACTCTGACACACATGGGTTGCCATGAGGTGTTGCAGTTGTGTTGTTGTCAAGTTACCTCAACATTTCATCAGTGCTCCCAGAGACCAAATAAATAAAGACTGTGATCCCAGAGCCTGGTCCTATAGGAGAGTATTTTAAGGGGCAAGCTGAGTGACCATCCTCCATACACCAACACCCCCAACATTCCAGATGAATGAGTCAGGTCTGGGAGTGACAAAGGTAGTCCAATCCAAGTAGTTCTGACTTCTTGATGTCTAATCTCCACATCTCTTTTCAGATTCCAAACTCCTTTTTTCTTTAGATTTGTATCTGAACTCCCCTTCTTGTTCACATTTTTCCATAAGTAAAAACTCATCTGGAACCACCTGCTGATTCTGCCTCTACACCCTTTAGTTTTGGTCCTTTCCTTCCTTGAAGCTGGACTTAAGGGTATAAGGGGCAACACTTAGCTGGCTGGGGCTCAAGTGGTCTCCATTTGCCTGCTGTAAGACTCCAATAAAACTAGTTGTTCAGCATCTTTATCGGAAAGACAGAGAGTGATACATGGCACATGAATAAACAGCATTCGTTCCTCAGGACCCTTGTTCTTTTCATCTACGCGTACAGTTTCAAGGTAACAAGGCCCTAGAAGAAGTGTGTTCGTGGGGAAAATGCATGGACTTTGAGTCTTTGGAATCTTTGATTCAAGTCATAACTCTGCACTAACATGTCCTGTTATTGTTGTTGTGAAGTGCTGTCAAGTCAGTTCCCACTCACAGGGACCCTGTCTAGGGTTTCCAAGGAGCAGCTGATGAGTTTGAACCACAGACCTTATGGTCCAAACTGACTTTGCAGCCCAATGCTTCATCCTACAGCACCACACCTGGACAGTTGTTGCTGTTGTTGAGTGCCGTTGAGTTGGTTCCGACTCATAGCAACTATTATAGGGTTTCTGAGGAGCCACTGGGGAATTTGAACTGCTGATCTTGCAGTTCAAACCAGCCTCGTGGTCCAGTGCATTATCCCACAGCGTCACACCAGAACTATGACCTAGTTATATCCTTAACCGTAAAATGGGTCAATAATCCCTGTTCAACCTAACTCATACAATTAACAATAAGGATCAAATGAATCATAACTCTAAAGAGGCTTTGCAAGTTTTAAAGTGATTTAGACATATGCATGATTATATATTCTCTCAGTGTTTTGAAGCTCACAATTCTTTCTGTTTTCTCTCCCAGTGATTTTGCCGGTTTTCATTGGAAGAGTCAGAATAAATTTTAAGATCTTTTCGAGCTTGCAGATTGAGTTGTTTTATAGAGCCTCTCACAAATGTCCTGCACTTCAAAAATGAAGGGTTTAAGTTTTATTTGGTCCCTCAATGCCACCACCTATTCGGAGTCCTGGTGTGGCCCTGTGAGGTAAGATACAAGGTCAGTCTGAACTGCAAGGTCAGTGGTTCAAGCTCATCAGCCACTCCTTGGAACCCCTATACAGGGTTGTCATAAGTCAGAATTGACTCGATGGCACTTAACAACAACAACAACATTCAGAGACAAATCTTGTTAGTTCCTAAATGTCATTCTTTAATTGCATTTAAATTATTTAGTAAAGATATACTAAGTTCGTGTTCTGTTCATGGAGTTTTTTAAATACTGACAGCAACAGAGATATGGGTATGGTGTTATCTGAGTCCCTAAAGACCATCTACTTAAAGTTCTCATTGGTAAGTTACACTAAGCACTGTGAGGACTGAGCTGTCTGCCTTTCTTCTTTGAGGATTCTAATCCTCAGTTTCATTCGTATGCGTCATCTCCTTCAGAAGAAATTTGTTTGGTCCTGTCCTCCTCAAGTTTAATCCAGGTTGTTGTGATATTACCAGTCCAAGTGTGAGAAAAGATAAGACAATAATAATAATAATTAATAATAATAATAATATGTACGAAAAGACCTAACTTGGTGCTTGGCTTGCCATATTGCATCAGTCGTTCCTGTTGTAGGTTGAACTGTGTCCCAGAATTGATATGTTGAAGTTCTCATTCTTGTCCCTGTGAATGTGACCTTGTTTGGAAAGAGTTTTTCTTTGAAGATGTTATCAGTTAATGAAGTCATAATGGAGCAAGGTGGCTTCTATTTCCTTCCTGGTGGTGTCTTAGAAAAGGAGAAAAGAAATCCGAAGACAGGGCCACACAGGAGAAGACAAGCATCACATGAAGATGTGTTTAAGTGAAGGTATCCCAAGAAATACACAGGGCAACCAGAAACTGAAAACAACAAGGATCTCCCCCGGAGTGGAGATAGAGCATTTGACTTGCAGAACTGTGAAGTCAAAATTCTATTCTTCAAAGTCACCCAGTTTGGGTTGTTTTATTACAGCAGCCGTTGGAAATTCAGACCATTTCCTTATCTCTCAGGGGCACTAAGACTAATCAATGGATCTTTTCTGGGGAAAAAAAACTGCTTAGAATGAAATCTGAAAAGAGACAAACTGTTGATTCAGTTCCCACCCATAGCGACCCTGTATAGGGTTTCCAAGGTGAGGTTGGAGAGTTTGAACTGCCGATTGATTCTGTGACTCAAACCGACTTTGCAGTCCAGTGCATTAACCTACAGCGCCACACCAGAACTCCCAAACTATATATGATGGTGGTGGTTATGTGTCGTGGAGTCAGTTCCGACCCATAGCAACCCTGAACAGGGTTTCCAAGGCTGTAAATCTTTACGGGAGCAGAAAGCCTCATCTTTCTCCCATGGAATAGCTGGTAGTTTCAAACTGCTGACCTTGCAGTTTGCAGCCCAATTCATAACCACTGTGCTACCAGAGATACATAGTGGGAGTAAAATGTCAAGGTAAGGAACCAGAGAAGTCAACAGAGGTGAACATTTAAAGAGGTGAAGTGAGGCCAGCTTAGTGGGTGGGCAGAAGGCAATCATGTGATTTCTGGATTGGATGAAGAGCTGGACCAGATTCTTTTTCAATCTTATTTTCTAGTTCCTCTCCTTCTCTTATGGCTTCAGAAAGCTTTTCTCAACCACCCCCACTGTTAGTCAAGAACTTTTCTGGAATTACAAAGTAGAAACAGTAAGGTCATTGTTTTGTGTGAAGACCATTGTGTAGGACCTACTGTTTTCAATCCTTACCTTAGTCATTAAGGTCAGCAGCATGCCAGCCCACAAAGACTTGTTCATTTGTCATGTTTGCCTTGGAACCAGTGGAGTGAGCAGGGGAAAGGGAAAATACTCAAAAGCAGTTAAAGAAAAGTGATAACTGTGATTACATAAACCTGTCCCCTTTCCTCCTGAGCAGTAACCGGATCACAGTTAACTGCCACAGCGTCCTTTATCACAACCATAGTTGAAAGGTCCAGGCCTATGTTAACCAAACTTAGAAAATAAATAGGACGTAAAAAATTCTATTACACATTCACTTCCATGGGTTCTGATAGAGGGACAACATGAAATGCCTTGTAAGTATATTTTCTAATTTTGAAATGTAGATGATTATGTTTTCAAAGCCAAAAGAGCCTGGGAGTAATTCTGGTTTTTCCCATAAACTCTTCACATTAAATCCAGATCGAATTTCCAAATATTAATTTGGTGCATAGCATGAAAGCCTAGCTAATAACTAATTCCTAAAATGGTCTTTTGTTTGGGTTTGGTTTTTTCACTTAGTAAAGGCATTCGTATTTTAGGATCCTCTCCTTTTAGATTCATCTTATTTACAAACTGCCAGTGAAGGAAAGCTTCAAATATATTTACTATATGGATCCATCTCTCAAAATACTTAAATAAAATCTCATTACCATCTGTATCTCAGCTATCGCCTTGATTAACCTACTGCATTATTATTATTATTTGTGAAGTAGCTCTTTTCTTTTTCTTTGAAGATGCATCTGACTTTTAATTATTGTCATAGCTTGTAGAACATTGCATGGGATGTGGTGGGGATGGAGGAGAAGGAGAGTTCTTGTTGAGTCTGGTTTATGTTGTGAGTGCCCTTGATCTGGCTCTGCCTTAAGAAGACTTGATGTAGGAGCAGGGGAAAGATTCACTGCCAGGCTTTCTTGCCTTAGTCTTTTCCAGCCATACTAATTCCTTTCCATTTGTTCTCTAATGCCTGAAATTCATTCAACAGACAAGGCAAGTCACTTCGAGAGGAGATAATAGAATATATAATTGTAAATATCTCAGGAAGTGGTGCCATTGAGTAAAATATATTTCAAAGTAAGACATAATGCAAGGTTTTTATTCCCAGGCACAGAGGAATAATCTAGAGGAAAGGCATGCAAGAGGAAATCAGGTGCCGGTGGGTTCCCAGTGGTGAGAGGTGAAGAAAAGGAAGGTTGAGACCCTGAATTATCACTTATTGATCTATTAGTCTACAGATGATATTTGGCCTAAGGATGGTCTGGCCCTGTGTGTAGATCAAGGGGTTGACGTTAATATGTATGTCAGTGGTTAGTAGGAGACGCAGATGTAAAGCAAAGTGTCACATTGGTAGAAAATAAAAGGTATCATTTTGAGCAAATGATAAAAATATACCTCCTGAGTATCCAGCGTACATATATCAACCACACTGAATGACAACTTCCTGACACACACTGGGGCCCCAGGACATGAGAGACTGTGAATTACAGATAATTTAAAGAAAATTCAGTAGGGGCCTGGGTTCATCTAAGAGCGCATAATTATTTGTTTACATTTCAGATGGTGTCTTCATATTTCACGATCTTCCTCCTAACTCCATGTATGGCACTGATGGTGAGTGGAGGTGGAGAGGGTTTAACCTTGTCTAATCCTCCTTTATCAGAAGTATTTCAAAGGTGATAATCAAAGGTAACCTCCCTCAAATTTCTCACAAGCACCGCAGAATCTTGCAACATAAGGGGGAAAGTAGAACTCTGGACTTTCAGGCTTTCTCACTGCTGCTTGGTTTTCTCCAGAACACCAGTGATAGCCATCTTCTGGATGGGTCTTTTGGAACCCAAACTATCCACGTCAATGCCTTACGAGGTATGGTCAGCATCCGGGACAACAATGTTCTGAGTGAATGGGATGGATCCATGAACTACAAGAATGTAAGATGTGAAATACATATATTACAAACCCAAAGAAAACCTTGTCTGGCCAAACATCTAGACGATGCTTTTCCAGAGAGAAAAGGGCACTTGTCTATATTTGCTTCCTTTAGATATAGGTTTTCAATGGAGAAATATTTCTTTAGGTAAGAGGCCAGCTTTCCTGTAATTTTAACGACTTCTTTTTGAGCAGAGATTGCAGGAGGAACTTCTGTGGTCTAAAAGCAGCCCACATCTCTTTCCATTCCTGTGGCATACATAGTCTTCACATGGCTACATATACCTCCAAAATAAGAAAGTTATTTAAGGAGTCTTCTAGTGTATAACTAATATGTGTTGTAGAAATTAGTTTATCTTGACCTCAGGTTTTAGTCAGTGTATTTCCAAAAAAGTAGATAAATTTATTTTCATTTTTAGAAATTTTACCTCAACTTGCTCATCTCCTCAGATAATGAAACTTGGCAGAAAGATGCAGGATCAGGAAGCTTGTATCCTTACCTTGGCTCAGTGACCACAGGACCCTCTCTTAACCTTTTTGTGCCTCAGTTTCCTCATATGCAAAATACCATCAATAAGTGTCTCTCCTACAGGATGCTAAGAATATTATATGAGACCAAAGTCCAAACTTTTCACCCTGATATACAATGCCTGTTGCTTGGAAGCCACTCAAGTCCCTTTCATAATATACTCTCTAACCACACTGGACACTTCAGGACAGACACCTCAAACACAGGGCTTTCTCTCTGCTCCCACCTGTACCTGCCCTTGCACTCTTCCCTGAGCGCCATCTCCCTTCCTCACTCTTTACCTAATAGGTCCCTGATTTCCTCAAGAAGAACTTTCTCCTACAGGACATGCAGTCTACTGATTTTCTACTTTCTTTTCAGCCCTGGAAACCTCTCTTCAAACAAAATGTTCCACAGAAATCTAGCATATAGAAGAAGTTAGAACAACTCTGGCTGGAGGACAGAAATGCTGCTGACGTGTCCTTGGGCTCAGCGAGACACCTTTGGAGAGCTGCTGCTCCAATCCAAAGCTGAGAGGACAAATGACCCAAAGGACAGACCCAGCATCTAATGGGAGGGGCAGATCCAGGATTAGAATCCAAGTCTAGAAGTCCTGACTCTTTCATAGTCCGAGAGCACTCTATAGATTGCAGGACATTTACACAAGCAGCAAAGATCTCCACCTCACATATTTATGACAACCCTGTGGGAGGGAATATTATTCCTGTTTTGCATATGAGGAACCAGGATCCCGGAGGTTGCTGAGGCTCAGGATAACGGGTTAACAGCGAAGCTGCAGGACAGAACCTTAATTTAAAGTCAGCACCACTGCTAATCCCTAGCCTCCACTCCCCCTTGCTTGTTAGTGAGGTGCAGAGTCCTGGGAGATTCCTTCCTACGTCTGTAGCAGGGACAGTCCTGACCTCAGCCCTTTGCTCTAGTACCTGAGGCATCACTCTATCCTACCACAGAGTTGAAAGAACAGCTCTGTGCCTGCATCTGGCAGAAAGTAGGAGGCCCTTAATGTTTTGACTGAGTGAATAAACTATTTCTGCTGTGTTGCTTTAAGGGCCTGCTGGCAGCTAAGCTGTTTGATAAGATGGCCTGTGTCCTGGTCAAGATGGACCAAGCTGTCTTCCCAACTTTGGATGAAATTATCAGGGCCCTGGGCCAGCAGGTAAGACAGACACTTCTCAGAAGTGCCCCCTATCTTGGTGTTTCTTAGTTCTGCATCCTTAGCTTCTAGGACAATTGTTCTGCACATGGGGGGGGGGTCCTTATTTCCTGCTTATTTCTGCCGCTCAGCAAGTACCACCACCGTGAAAATGACTACAAATCCAAGCAATCACCCATTAAGTCAAATCTTAACTTTCAGTCACTGAAACTTCATGAATGATTTCATTTTGATATATTCCAAAAGCATTTGAGGTGTATGTTCATCAGTATAAATTAATGACTATAAACATTAGCGTGAACTTATAAAGTATTTGGAGTCGTAGTGCGGCACTGTAGGATAAACACTGGACTGCTAACCACAAGTTCACTGGTTCAAACCCACCAGCTGCTCAACGGAAACCCTATACAGGGTGTGATGCTGTGGGCTAATGCATCAGACTGTAAAGTCAGTTGAACCGCAAGGTCGGAGGTTCAAGCTCACCAGCTGCTCGTTGGAAACCCTATACAGGGTCCCTGTGGGTCAGAATCGACTCAAGAAAACATAACAACAACGGTGGGAACCAACAAAAACAATAAAGTTTTTGTATCACAGTGCCTTCCTTCTCTTCCTCTTCCAATAGCAAACAGTCACCAAACACACACATAAATTAAGTCTCCCACATGAACTGTGGCAGCTTGGTGGCAAGCCAATTTAATCTTTAACCTAAAATAGCCCCAAACCAAACCAGTTGCTGTTGTTGATTCGGTATTCAGTCCCAGCTCATGGTGACCCATGTGAGCATAGAACAAGGCTTTCAGTGGCTGGGATTTCTAAAGCAAATCAGCAAGTCTTTCACTCAAGGTGCCTCTGAGTAGACTTGAACCACATCCTTTCAGTAGCAATAGAACACATTTACAGTTGAAAGCAACCAGGGACTCCCAAAGTAAACCCAAGACTGCCGAAATGCCCTTCCCCACTGCATCCCGAACAACAATAGTAGTCGAATCTGTTAAAACCCAGCAGTAAGTCCTTAGAAAGCCATTGCAGCCTGGCCATCATTTTCTGAAGTAACCCGCACAGCATATGTGGACAACACTATTGTCAGTGACAGGGGATTTGCTTAAATTGGGGAAAAATACCCCTCAGGTGATAAAAGTTAAGCAAGTGATTTTATTTTTTAAAAGAGAAGCAGAAAGCATGCTCTCATCTGATTTGACAAGTGAAGACAGTATCAATGCACCAAAGAGCATTAAAAGTATTCTCGGCTGTCATTAAGGAGTGATGGGGACAGTATTGGAGAGTGAAAGAGTTGAGAAATTAAGGGTTAAGGGGATTACAGAGTACAGAAAAGTCAGATTCACACAGATTTTTCTCGAGCCATGTCGCCACCTTGTGGTCAAATAAGATATTTGCGTTTGGCCTGTGAGCCATGTCGCCACCTTGTGGGCAAATGAGATATTTGCGTTTGGTCTGTGGGCCATGTCGCCACCTTGTGGACAAATGAGATATTTGCGTTTGGCCTGCGAGCCTTGTCGCCATCTTGTGGTCAAATAAGATATTGCTGCGAGAGGCCAAAGTCAAGAGCTAATTTGGTTCAGGTATTTTGATAAATGGAGTCTCCCACGAAAACTGTGGCAGCTTGATGGCAGGCCAATGTCTTCATCGCCTAGTGTTGCTGTATGGGAAGTAGCATGTGTGGATGGCTTTCAAGAACAGAAATTTGTTTTCTTATAGTTTGGGAGGATAAAATACAAAATGCAGGGTGTGGCTCTAGAAGATCTCCCTTGGTCTATTTCAACTTCTTTGTTTGTTGTTTCTGTGTGCCCTCCAGTCAGTTCCAACTTATAACAACCCTGTATAGGGTTTCTAAGAGTGGCTGATGGGTTTGAACCACCGACCTTGTGATTACCAGTCCAGTGTTTACACCACAGCTCCACACCAGGGCTCTATTTCAACTTCTGTTGTTGTTAAGTACTGCCTAGTCGCTTCCAACTCATAGCGACCCTGCAAAGGGTTTCTAAAGAGCATCTGGTGGGTTTCAGCTGCTGACCTTGTGGTCCATTGCTACTCCTACAGCGCCGGAAATTCTTGACCTTGTAGTTTCATCTCTCTCCATCATTATCAAATAGTGTCTGTTCTGCGCACTTTATTCACACCTCTCCATGTGTCTGTGCTGCCCTCTGATAACTCAGAAATGATGTCTCGAATCTAACCTACACTGATATGACCTCAACTGATTGATTATATTGGATTGGATTGCATAAGGACAGTGATTACATTGTGTTAGAGTGCATTATAGCCAGAGGTATAGGAATTAGAATTACAATGCATATTTAAGGGTGGCCACAATCCTGTTCCTAAGAGCTGGGTCCCCTGGAAGATGTGTTTGCCTTTTTGCTCTGCACATCTGTGTGTTATCCCATCATTTCGATATGACACCTTTTACAGGATTCAAAGCAATACCCATCTACCCGAGGCCTAACATACACCGTTTTACCCAGCCGGGTCAAGAATGTAGCCCAGTATGGAATGCCCATCAAGGATATGTGCAGAGCGGTCCCCACCTACTTTGCCCATCAACAAAAAGAAGGTGTGTTAACAACTTCATTAGAAACCCAAATCCATGGGTGAATTAGATGGTGTAGTATTAATCCCAAGTCATTCCAAATTCTGATGATGACTTTCAGGTCAGTTTCAATCCTTGGTTACTGAGTATGGAAATAATTTGGTGGTAATGTATTTCCCTGTGGTGCCAGAGATGATCTTCTGATATTGGGCTCAATGGGGGTAAGGTGTAGAGAGTTAATCTTGCTTTACCAGAAGATTGAGTTGACAGCCATCTCAACAGTGGGATTTGATATTCAGTTAATAGCCTCACTTGACCTAAAGCTTCACCAACTCCTGCCAAGCAACACAGTGCCTTGGCTGCCCAACATGAGCGATCCATTGCTTTTAAGATCCTCAACGTTTCTTTGTCAAGCTGCCCAGATAGTGAGGGGAATGCTCTAATACTTATTAACACTCTTAGAAAGGAGTATTCCAGAGGCTGGGACTCTTGCTGAGAGTGTGTGAGACAAGTGGAAGAAAACTTGGAAAGCTATTGAGAGAAGGTTTCGAAATCTGTTGCTGGTCCAGAGAAGCTCTTCCCATTAGACTGCTGACAATCACTTGTATCATACTATGAATTAGCCCAATCTTCTTTATAGCAGGAGGACCCAATGGGAAAATAGGAGGAACCAAAAGGGGTAAGGAATTCTAGATGATCATTAAGGATCAATACAAGAAATAGAAAGGCTACATATTGCGGGGTGAGAGGCATCTTCATTTTAGCCCCACAGTCTTGCTAGTAGACTTATGCTGAGCATCACATCTGACATAAGTGAAACTTAACGAAGTGTTCATTTTGCTCTGGGCTCGTCATGAAATGAAGCAATCTCTTCCTTTATAAAATGATTCTTTCTTCTTCAAGGTGGGGCACTGGCAGTTGACCCTGATTCCTGTTTTGAGATCCAACTTCTGTCCTTTATGGGGCTCGCCATCTGTGGTGAGATCCCTGGCCTCTGAACCTCGAGGTTGGCTACAGGAAGAGTGGACTCGCCTGGACTAGGCTACCAGCCTGGAGCCAGAGCTTGGGCACCCAGCCCTCCTTCTGCCTCCAAGACACTCCTCACTCAGTCCTCTACCTTCTGCCTTTTGACTAATACCCAGCTTTGTAATCAGGAAAGTAGAATGTATTTCTCCCTTGTGGTTAGAACAATAAAACTTCCTCTTGCCTCACTGCTCTACACTGGGCCTTCTCTGCCTACACAATCCTCCTTCAATTAACAGCAATCACACACCAACATTGGGCAAAGGTGGAGGTTGTACCTCTCCTAGAGCATCTCATTCCTAAGGGCCTCTTTCTGAGATATCCCTTAAAGAATCCCATAACAATTGTGGTCAAAGTATAAAAACTTCAAAAATAAATGACAAGACACAAACAAGAGCACAGACAAGCTGTCTGATCAGAGGCCACATCTCTTATCTCCTGCAAATTGGTGATAAGATTCTAAGGAAGTCTGTGCCCTATGGAAAATCCCTAAGAGAGAGCCAAATGAAATGAGTGCTCCCAGAACTCTCTATCTGAACTGGTCCCAACCCCAGGGTCATAATCCCCAGGCATTCCTTTCCATTTTGAATCACTAAGGGACCTGGAAGGAGCTCTGATAGCAGAGTGGTTACAGGCTGCTAACCTCACAGTCAGCAGTTCAAAACTACCAGCTGTTTTGCGGGAGAAAGATGAGACTTTCAGTTCCCGTAAAGATTTACAGTCTCGGAAACCCTGTACAGGGTTGCCATGATTCAGAATCGACTCTACGGCACATAACAACAACAACAAGGGACCTTGGACTCGTAGCACTTGTTCTATAGCTGCCCATTCCTATATCTGGGGAGGTACCTGAATGGTGCAAACAGTTTATTCTCTGCTACTAACCTAAAGGTTGGCAGTTCAAACCCATCCAGTGGCACCACAGAAGAAATGCTGCTTCCATAAAATTTACAGACAAGGAAACTCCGAGGAGCAAGCAGTTCTACTCTGCAATACATGGGTTGGAATCAGAAGCATGACAATGGGTTGGATTCTTTAACCACTCATTCCTGTATCTGGGAGGGCCAGAACCCACCCAAACCACATAGCACATCCCTATCCTTCTTGGGGGATATAGACATGGCTATCCATAGAAGGTCGGGTTGGAGTTTGGAGCACTTTAAAATAGGGCAAGGCTGAGTGGGGGAGTTGTATAATGTTTGTGCTTGATATAGAAGGGCATTGTGAATAATGGCAGACACTGCTGAAGTCTGGGATCACCGAGGGTGTAGCTCCTCTGGGTTAAGTAGTGGTTCTCTACAGCCACAAGGGAAAGATGCCCTAAGATGAAGCTTTGACTGAGTTTGTTGTTGTTAATTGCCGACAAGTCTACCCATAGCGGCCCTGTATAGGGTTACCAAGGAGCAGCTGGTGAGCTTGAACCATTGACTTTGCAGTTCAGATGACTTTGCAGTCTGACGCATTAGCCCACAGCAGCACATAATTGGTCAAGTCCGAGGCCCTTACCCTGTGGTTTTGGTCACATGAAGCTTGTCCAGAATAAGGCAATTAGAGAAATGTACACCCCGGAAGCGTCCATGTTTTCGTAGTGGTTACGAATCGGGCTGCGAACCTTAAGGTCAGCGGTTCGAAACTACCAGTCGCTCCGCGGGAGAAAGATGAGGCTTTCTACTCCCGTAAGGATTTACACCCTTGGAAACCCTGTACAGGGTCGCTATGGGTCGGACCCGACTCGATGGCACTTAACAACAACAACAACAACAATCCTATCCCAGAGCCCTGGTATGACACTGTAGGCTTAGCACTGGACTGCTAATTACAAGGTTGGTGGTTCAAACCCACCAGCTTCTCTCTGGGAACCCTGTGCAGGGTCACTATGAGTTAGAACTTCTCCATGACACTAAACAACAATAAACCTATTCCAGATGTGCTAGCTGTGGGTTAGGGAGCCACACAGGATGCAGCTGGGTATACTGCAATCATTGTAGATGAGAAGGGAAACGCCAAGCCTTCCTAGTAAGGAGAAAAAGAGCTCCTCCCCAATAATCCTGCTTTGGAAGTAACTGGATGTCTCTGTATTCAATGAGGAATTGTATATTTAAAAGCCACACATGAGCAAGGTCGTTGTTACATGTCGTCGAGTTGGTTCCAACACAGAGTGATCCTAAATTGGATTTCCAAGGAGCAGCTGGTGGGTTTGAACCACCAACCTTGGGGCTAGCAGCCTAGTACTTCTCCTACAGTGCCTTAACAGGAAAGAGGCTTTGTTATTAAGGGCTGTTGAGTCGATTCGGACTCATAGTGACCCTGCGTAGGGTTTCTGAAGAGCAGCTGGTGGGTTTGAACCACTGACCTTGTTTGTAGTCCATTGCTTATCCTCCAACACCACACCACAAAGAGGCTATTGTTCCAGAAATACATTGTTATTGTTATTTGGGGATCCATTTTGTCCCTGGGCCATCTAGACTCCTCACATAGAGACACGAGAGTTCTAACACTTAGGAAAGAACTAGCTGGTAGAACTAAGCAGGCGTGGTTTTTCTGACTTAAGATAGTCAAGATTATTCAACTAAATTGTAATGTCACTGCTATTGTATACAACTAAACAGCCTGCTGGGCAAATGTTCAGAAAAACAAACCCTCACAAAAGGCACGGCTTTACTGCTCAACCGCAAGGCGGTCTTGATAAAGACGTAACTGAACTTCATTAAACATGTTTTCCGACGGTCACAAATCAACTGTACAGCAACTAATAACAACAAGAAACATGGTACAGAGGCGGCAGCTGGCCCATGCTAACTCTGCCATGAGTAATGGTGCCTCTGGTTTCACCTTCTGTTGCCGAATGAACAACAGAAAGTCCAGCTGTTGTCCCCTAACCTTGGTTTGGGGAGATGTTACTTGGTGGCACGTAAACTGAGGGAAGCCCCAAGGGGGCAGTCATTGCATGGCAACTGTAGCAGTTCAGCATAATGTCACCTGACAAAAAATACCCAAAGATCCTCTCTTATGTTGACAGGGACTACCATCCTGAAGCAGGTATTTCTTCAATATTTTAAACAGAATTTTTAAACCGAGCAGACGGTTCTATAAATGGCAGTGGACCAGTTAGGATCTGACCACTTTAAAGGTACAGTCAGAAAACGGGAAAAGTACTTGTTCAAGAGCAGGCCTTACAACAACGTTTTGTGACTAGAGAATGGAAGGTGGGAATGGGTCCTGCCTCAGTCCCCAAGTGCTAATAATGTGAAAAGATAAACCAGCAATGCTCCAAGGATCATTGGAACTGAGCTCATTCTTTCCCTCTACTTGATACTCCAGGAGCTCTGGTGGCACTGCAGACTAAGTATCGGGCAGAAGTTCAAACTCCAAAGGGGAAAGATGAGGCTGTCTGATCCTGCAAAGATTTAGTCTTGGAAGCCCTATGGGCACCTCTGCTCTGGCCTATCCTGGATTGCTATGAGTCGAAATTGACTTGAAGGCAGTAGGGTTTAGATTTTTACTTGGTGTTCACAGTGAGCTGGAAGGAGTGGAAATCAATGTTATCTGGTGAATTAGGCAATCAGTGAAATCTCCTCCTCCACCTGGCTGAAGATGGAAGACTTCTGTGTGTCAGGAACCCTTCTCCCACTAACTTAAATCCATACTTGTTTATCCTTTCAAACCACCCTCCAACAAAAAATGAAAACATCTCAAATGTTCATTGACAGAGAATTAAGTAAATTGTATAATGGTGAAATACTTTGTAGCCATTAAAAACAATGTTATATTTACAAATAAACACGCACACATTCCCTTAGTACTAAAGTTCTATATTTCATGGCATAAAATAATGTCACAATGCATCATCGGTGAGTAAAATGAAAATAAAAAGCTAGTCCCAAACTATAATTTGTTTTTAAAGAAAGATCACTTCTGGGTTCTTTAGAATCTTACCCTGGGTAGTTAAGAAACCAGCCAAGGATTTGAGCATACTTTATATGTAGATTTGGGGCTCCCTCATCTGTTTCATTTTCTAGGAAATCCTGCCTCCATTTTCAGAGATTCTAGCAACTCAGGCCCTGAACTTTGCCTTTTCAGCCCAGTAAGAGTGACACTTTCAGCTTGCACTCTATTCATCATGTGCAGAGTAGGTCACATCCATTGTAGTTTCATGACTGTCTCCATTGCTTTAAAGCAATTTTTTAAAGTCTATCTAGGTTTATAAATTCCTTCTATATACTGGATCAAGTTCTCTCCCCTGTTAAGATTTCCAGTAAGCTACATCTGCTGCTCTTCCTTCCTCTTCACCCCCATCAATATCATGATAGTGTTTATTAAGTTGAGTCTATTTCTTTGACTAGCTAAAGTGTGTTTCCTGATTTTGTACTAGTCCTTGTGCATTTAAATGGCCCTCAAAGCTATGTGCTGTGTCAGAGAGGATAATTTCCGTCCCCTGAATACTCGGAATGCTTGATGAAGGTAAACAACGAGAACATACACATTGTTTGGCTTCCCCTTTAGTATTTCATAACAACAACAAAAAAGCAAATACCCAGAGATCTGTAAATATAGTGTTTACTAATGAATCTCAAAATTCATCAGAGCATTGGAAAAGAATTTAATTTGACTGCTGAGTGGAAACCAATAATCTATCTCTTTAAAAAGACAAAAACAATCACTGTTTTTGTGATGCTTAAACTCGAATATCTGCACAGATGGAAATTCCCAAGATGCCCAGCACTCCAGCCTTTGCACAGCCTCCAGCACCAATGTCATCTGAAAAGGGGAAATTGTTCAAAAAAAAAGCAAAAGGAAATATATTGTTAGAATGCATTAAGTCAATGGTTTTGTAAATATGTTTTTTACTACAGGTGGTACGTATACTCCTAATAAATAAATTTTAGCCATACTTGCATTCCAAAGGACAATAATGTTTTAGCTTTAATAAGACTGGCAATTTCTAGAAGGTTGACTGGCTATATTTCTGTTGATGCTATGCCAATCTGTGTTGATGACATCCATACTTATAATCCTTTACTTATAAGCACCAATGATTATGTTAAAAGGAAAATGTCTTGCTCAAAATATTATTCTGGCTACTCTACTGTATTTAGAAATTGTATACAAAAACAACCTGCAATGACATGTCGTATCATTTAATGATGAATCCGTATCACTGTGCTTCATTTGTTCTTTTCAGGAACAATTCTACATGTGGTGAATGCTTCTTAGTGATTTCTTTTTTGTCCCCTCCAAATGATGAACTTCTAAGGGATTTTTCCTACTTTAAATGTTTACATGAGAAAGACTAACAGAATCCAATAGTGTTTCCTGGCCACTCCAGAATATTTTTTCATTCCATCCTTTGCATTTACTTGTAAATTTCTCCAGTAAACTATGCATTCCGTGGACGCTAAAGTTTAATTCATTTTCAATCCCTAAAATTTAGCATAATTGCCACACATGGTAGATATTTCTTTCCCAAAATATACCTACAGCTTTGCATTTATCTGTATTTTCTCAGCACTTAGCAGAGTATATGACACATAGTGATCTTTCTGAAAATATTTGATGAATGAATGGTTCTTGGTACTCACGCGTCTTTTCAACCACTTCCCCCTTGTACAAGGGGATGTGTTTGCAGAGATTCTCAATGGGTGACCCAAACAGGAACCAGTTCACGTCTGTGATAAGAGACTCCAGAGGGTTGTACTTAACCCAGGTGTATTTGTTGGAGAACATGGTGTTCAGAGCCTAGTAACAGAATAGTACAAGGTGAGACTAGTTAGTACCATCTGGTATGCATTATGGAAAAATTTAACTTTCTCTCTTTCAGATTCTTAAACAGAAGGTGACCAAGATGCTTCAGATACCACCTCTTTCTGAAAATTTTGTCTGCAGAAAAGTCTTATTATTATTAATGTTATTTTACTCTCGGTGGCAACAAAATCCCAGCCATGGTTAAGTCCCATGCCAAAGGTGACATGGATGATAAATTATGGAAGGAGAATTAAGCCCCAAGTCTGTAGCCTCAACACATTGTTTACTCATTCTCATTATATGATTTTTTTTTTATGTCTATGTATTGTTGAATATCAAAACTGCACTCACTTTTCTGACAACTACTATTTCTTAGATCTCTGCTTTGAGAAGAGGGGTTATTTGGTCCTTTCTATAAAGATACTGTAATATATTATAAGTTTTTATATTTAGGACGTTGTGAAAATCAAGTGTATTCTTCCACTTAAAAGGAGTAAAAGTACTGTAAGGTCTAATATTATCCATTGCGGTAATCATATTCTGATCTTCATACGATGGACGATTCCCTAATGATGAGGATTCATGCTTTCTCCACAGGCATTGGTTTGGCCTAATTCGAGACCAGAGAATGTTCTATTAAGGAACAGCAGAATTACCTTCCTCTCGAAGATGAACCGTTTGAGTTGGTCCAGAGCAGGAATGTTTTCATGATTCATTTTCAGGATATAGCAGGCCCTTCGGGAGAGCAGCCTCGAAGCGATGTAGCCCTGAGGAAGCAAGCACAGACAGTTCTCTGAGCTCTTGACTTGTCGAGGATGTCTGGGTCTTGATGGAAAGACTTGAGTATGCGGAATGACTGCATGTCATTGCTTTACACTATGTGATCAAGTCTGTCTGCCTGACTTCTTTTACTTGTTATTTGTGTTTGTTCACTTATCATTGATACCATTTTTTAAACTGTGTAAACCTACAGTTTATAATCCAATTTTCAAGTAATGGGACTAGAGTTTATAGCCTAGGGTTTGAAATAATTGAGAAGGCACATCTCTCTGTCTCTTTCTATTGATTTAATTCTGCTCCTGCCCCAATTGGGAGCACAGATCATATTCTTTAGAATGCACATTTCAAGTATTTAACAGCTGGAATTGGTTGTTGGTATTGTTACACGTCCATTCCGATTCGTAGTGACCCTGTACAAGGTTTCTAAGGAGTGGCTGGTGGGTTTGAACTGCTGACCTTTGAGTTAGCAGTCCAGTACTTATCTTAAAGTGCCACACAAGAACTCTTGGGGTGCCATTTTGGAAAGTGTAGATATAGAGTATTTCCATTATTAAAGAAAGTTCTGTTGGACAAAGCTGCTTAGAAACTCTCCTAAATACTACACCTCCAACCCCACCATACATATACACATTTTTTTCCATCTATTATCTTCTCCTTTACCATCTTATCTTTTTCTCCAGTTTTTGTTCCTCCTTCCTGTCCCCTCCTCAAGCCCAAACTGCTGATAGACAAGATAGATTGGAGCAAATTAGGATTGGAAGAGCAGTGAAGGACAATGACAAAGGCATCAAAAAAGACAATATTTTGGAAGAATCCCAAATCATTATACAGCCTGTGCTGGGACTCTTCTAGCTCTGAGATTTTTGTGTTCATAAGCAATCAATACTTAAAATTCAAAAGTAAACTGAGGTCAGGTCTGGTGATAGTGGAAGATCTGTAACCACATCTTCACCACTTTATACATAGGCACTCCTTGGATTATGAATGAAATCCATTTCTAATGAAACCCATGTCTTTAAGAATCTGGAGGTCACAGTTTGATGAACTGACTTTTGCTTATCAATACAGTTGCTCAAACTTCCAACCAGAATAGAAGATTCTTCAGATCAAGGAACACGATTGTCTCTTCAGTATACTGGATTGATAGGGATGGGCAATTTAGTCATTGGTGAGCAAAAATTGGGGGCGGGGAGCTACAAAGGCACCAGGGAGTCCTGGTGTGGTGCTGTGGATTAATGCACTGGACTGCAAGATTGGTTTGAACCACAAGGTTGGCAGTTCAAGTTCACCAGCTGCTTCTCAGGGTCGTTAAGAGTTGGAGCTGACTTGATGGCACTTAACAACAACAAACAACATAAAGACATAAAGTGGCTAGCTTACAAGTTTTCATAGGTGTGCTTAGTTTCAAAATGAAGCTGTTAAGGTAGAATTCCCACTAAATAGTTTTCCTGTTTTCCAGATGGAACTGGTGACAGGGGATGGGGGAATGATGCTGATAGGATTGTATGATTCAATTGTGAGTAATTGTTAGCAGGATTAACTTTGATTGTCAAAACTGTAATTGTAGAAGAGTGTAAATAAAAGGAGACAGTAATTCATCTTTCATTTTAGGAACAGATGATCCCAGGACCATCAAGATGGAAGAGCATGAGTGGAGTGTGAGGTCTCTACCAAGAATAGCAGAAACAGCAGAGAAGGTAGCAGAGATGAAGGTATGGAGAGATAGAGCACCTATGGGCTCTAGGCCCATGGACTGAGAAAGGCTGTGTGCCTTTAGGCAGGAGGTTGGCGGCAGAATGTGCCCTTTGAACATTTAAATTTATCTATATTATTTGGTTTGGTTAGTTTGGTTTGTGTGCATCAAATATTTGTGCTTTATTCATTTATGAAATATAAGAGAAAAGGGGAGCCACAGGAAAGAAGGAAGGAAGGCAACTGTGTTGCAGGGAGGGGATTATAACCATTGAGATTAAGCAAAGCATGGGATTTGTTGAATGCAAAGCTGATGATCTTGTCTGTAAACCTTTGCTCAATTCACAGCAAAATGTTAGACAGAAATAAAGAATTTGTGAGTCACTGGAGAAGGATATCACGTTTGGTAAGGCGGAAGGTTAGAGAAGAAGAGGAAGACCCCCAGTTAGATGAATTGGCCAAGTGGTTTAAGCGTGGCAACAATTGTGAGGTTGGCCCAGGATTGGGCAATGTTTCGTTCTGTTGTGCACAGAGTCACTATGAGTCAGTACCGACTCGATAGCATTGAGTAACAACAATAACAGGGGTTGATTCAACCATTTCAAAGTGAGGACAATTTTATATAACATAAACAACAAGTAGAATTTGTTTTAAGTCAGAGATCCATAACCCAAAACTACCTGCATTTAAAGACAGTTTTGTGGAATTTCCCTGACTTCTGCTTAAAAACCTATTTCAGTACAATGTCCTTTTAAACCATCTCTTTTAAATATTCTGTACTTCGTAAGTGGTATCCTGGTATAGCACTATAGGATAAGTACTGGACTATAAGGTCAGTTTAAACTGCGAAGTCAGCAGTTCAAACCCTCCTACTGCTCCTCGGAAACCCTATACAAGATCGCTACAAGTCAGAACTGTCTCAGTTGTGCTTAACAACAACAACAACGTTCATAAGTGGAAGCATGCTGTTATGTACAATAAAACATTGGACTTTGAATACAAGATAAATGGCTTGAGCCCACCAGCTGCTCCACAGAAAAAAGATGAAACTTTCTGCTCCTGTGAAGATTTATAGCTTCAAAAACCCTATATTGGGCCACTATGAGTTGGAACTGACAACAACAAAAAAAACAACTTTCTTATCTGTCGTGGAACCCCAATCGATGACAGTAGGCATGTGAAGAAGTCTACAAGGGGAAGGAAACTGGAGTCTGAACCCTCTCCCCTGGGATCCCCCATACTGAACAGGCCAATAAAATGGGCTATGACCAGCCTGTATCCAATATGTACAGCTCTGTGCCTAGTCAGAAGCAGGCTCACAATTAATAGAATAAAAGGAAAACAAACAAATCAATAAGTGGATAAGGGCGAGAATAAAATTTCAGAACAGGTTTCTGAGATTTATTGCAAATATCAGTAACTAGAAGTTGGATACAACTAAAACTATTTAGTTAACTTATTGTAGATAATACATCTATAATTACATATGTAGAGTTGGTCTGACTTACTGCTATTTTATGATTGTTTTTCTTCATGTTTGTTCTTTTCTGCATAATGTTTTATATTAGAAGCCCTATTTCATTCATTTATTTTCGAAATAATTTTGAGAAGAGCTTTTTTGTCAACCACTGCTTTGATTACTTTTGTAGGCACTCTCTGAGCCTCAATGAGAAGGTGCCCGCAATCTTGTAATCTACACCTGAAAACGTCAAGGAAATTTGTATGTTTCCAGGCATAATATTTCTTAGAAATGGTTCTGCTGGTTAGATTGCTTGATTATTTAAGGGAAAGCAAAAATGAGAAAACGATTTTTAAATGGCAATTCATTAAGGAGCTCTGGTAGCGTAGTGGTTATGAATTGGGCTTCTATCCTCAAGGTCAGCAGTTCGAAACTACCAGCTGTTCTGTGGGAGAAGGATGAGGTTCTCTGCTCCTGTAAAGATTTACAACCCTTGGAAACCCTGTACAAGGTCACTATGAGTCGGAACTGACTCCACAGCACACCACCACCACATCATGTATAATAAACAGTTGCCCCTCAGCTCTTTAAAACCCAGGTCCTGAAAGATCCCCTTGCTGCTTACATGTTTGTAGTCAAAAACCGTGGTGGAAGAGCAGGACCCTGCATGGACATTGATGATGGCGGTGTTCTTTTCATTGTCAATTGTCACGGTCTCCTGAACATTGCCACCATTGTTGACTGGGTTGATGATGTTATAAACCTAGATTTACAAAAAAGACATAATAGATTTTCTACATATTATATGCATTTGAAGGGCAGCTGCCCCTTCCCAAGCAACATAAAATCTTTCATCTGCTCTGAATAAGGAATTGGAATCTGGAAACTCTCTTCTGGAATACCAGACTAAAAAGCTATGCTAAAATAAGAATGCACAGCTCTTTCTCATAGTTGATTATACTATATATGAGAATCACAATGACTTCAGAGGAGATGAGCTTACCCACATTCTTTAACAGTGGGTTATATTTTTTGAAGGTATTGTAGTTGGAGAGAAACAATCAACTTTATTGTTTGCATTGTTGATTGTTTTAGAGATTATATCCCAAATAGTGCATTCTGACTCTCCAACCCACCCCTGCTTTATTCCTCAATATATCCAAAGGATAAAGCCCACAACAAACTAACTCACCTCATATCCATGAGACAGTGCCCCAAAGGTGGCCAGCACCACCAGAAATATCACCTGAAAAACAAACCAGTTACATCATTGTCTTAGGATAGACATTAAGAGTGGAGTCATGAGGGAATGTTGGACAGAAAAACCATGAACATTTAGAATATGCCTATGTTTATAGACACAGGTAAAGGAGTTCTAATGGTACCATAGGGTAAGCACTGGACTGCTAACCGCAAGATCAGCAGTTCAAATCCACCAGCCTCTCTGAGGGAGAAAATGAGACTGTCTATTCCTGTAATACTTACAGTCTCGGCAACACTGTGGATCTCTATGAGTCAGAATCAATTCATTAACAGTGCATTTGATTGGGTTTTGTAGACACAAGTAAGTGATTATGGATTATGGTATTATGGAATATGGTCAATATTCCACTTCCAAAATGAGAAAACGCACATTAATACATGTTACAGGCACTTAATAAGTTTATTCTGTTTGTCAGGCAAAGATTTCTACCTTTTCTACCTAATCCTCAATCCTTCCCAACATTGTGACCTTCACATGTTTTTATGCTAGAAGCAAGCAGTGGAGAAGGACTCATTTTACTATGGGAAACACCTTAGACTGATAGACACTGGCTTTGAATTACACAAATAAAGTTGTCTCTCAGTACAAAATTCCTTTACTCACTGAGACTGAAGAAGTAAAACAGAATCAAAGTTGATTTGTGGATGATAGAGATACAAGAGGCTTCTAAGATAAACTAGGAAGGTAGGCTGCTTAGAGGGCGTTATTAACTTTTGACGTTAAGGTCAAGGAGCACTCTCATATTCTCCTACAACTCATGTCAGGCTGATACCATTAGACTGACACCGAGGTTCTTCTGATATTTTGCTATAGATGCCTACTCCTGTTTTTGGATCTTCATTTGTAGTATACTGTCTATTGTAGTATATTGCACATTATTAAAAAAGTGCTGATTGAAGAGATCTTTGGGAAGGAAATATATTTTTAAAACTGTCAGTGGGACCTATCTACTTCCTTTTCCATACCATCCCTAACATTTCTATCCTGGTGACAGATGCTGGAACCCCTACCAAAAACCTGTATTCAGATACCTGCCGCATACTCACATAGAAATCCATCGGCTCTCACCCCAGGTCAACTCTGGTGGTGTCTGAGGCTCATACAATGGGGCTTCAAAAGTTTATAGAAAAATGAAATGAATAGTTCATGGAATTTTTCTATGTGCTTTTTCAAGCCTATATATACATATGTTGGTTAGTTGTTATGTGCCATGGAGTTGGTTCCAACTCATAGAGACCCATAGGGTTTCTGAGGCTGTAAGTCTGTATGGGAGCAGAAAGCACCATCTTTCTCCAGCAGACCAGCTGGTAGTTTTGAACTGCTGACCTTGAGGTTAGCAGCCAGACTTGTAATCAGTACACCACCACAACACATAACTACCACCACCACCACCACCACCATATATATAGACACCTGGTGTGGCATTATAGGATAAGCACTGTACTGCGAACCAAAAGGTCAGTGGTTTAAATCCACCAGCTGCTCCTTGGAAACCCTATACAGGGTCGCTATGAGCAAGAATCAACTTGTTGACATGTAACAACAACAACATATATATAATCTAGTAGATCTAAAACAGAGGCTTGAAGAGGTGGATGGAGAACCAGCCACCTTCATGGTCTGATTAAAGAGAAATCAGGAAGCGTCCCAAAATAACCACCAATCCAACACCCCTGTGTTGTTTACAACACTGGTTAAAAATGTATGCTTCAATGATAGGTCTCCTCTTGGGAAACAGAGAGTACCCTGGGAGGGGTAACTCTTAAGGCTGGAAGTCTTTAGTACCTTACATATCATTTTATTTCCCTCTCAACAGCTGAAGACAAATCAGGACTTTGAAAGATAGAGACTGGAGAAAGGGATTCTATTCTGGATTACAACATAGTCCCCCATCCATAGTGCACTGCCTGGAGGCAGGGCTTGATGGCGGCTAGGGTGAAAGTGCAGTGAAGTTCACCATCAGCAATAACACAGAATACCAGGCAAAGCAGATCCAGGGCAGAGCTCCAAAACTTGGAACCACAGAGATAGGAATATTTAAAAAGTTTGAAGGCTGATAGCTTGTGGAAATTGGAGCTGAAGTAAAAAAATATTGTGTACTTTTGAATCTGCCGGGCTGGGCTCAAAGGGCCCAGAGCTGACATCTTGAGCAAGATCAAATGGCAAGACCAAATGGGAGGAGCAGAAACACCACGGAAAAACGCCATGAGAACCTTGGGACAAAGGTG